GGAATGTGCTTAAGGCTACTCCATCATTGACCACTAAGATGGCATCAAAATAAAAGCTTCACCGAGTCAACATGAATAACATCTCTCCATGCAAGTTTGACTCTTACTACTCAAATGGCCATGTAAAATACGCCTATTCACGCAATTAATTTAGCCAATCCTCAATTAATTATGTAATCAGAATCTTTACGTGCATCTTTTAGCAACCCTTCATGCAACTTTTTCATTTAACATCCCCTCATGCAACGTTTTCACCCACTCCTGAATTAGCCATATCCACAGTTCATGCAGCTTCAGTGCCAATTTCTTAACCCATAGTCAACAAAATCGATCGCATCTCCAACCCCTCATGCAACGTTTTCACCCACTTCTGAATTAGCCATATCCACAGTTCATGCAACTTTAGTGCCAATTTATTAACCCATAGTCAACAAAATCGATCGCATCTCCAACAATATCCACATGTGCCTGCCTCATAATATATATACTACTTCATTCATGGAACAACATCATTGCATATAAAACTTGACTGCTCCACTCAGGGGCATCACCTAGAAGCATCAAACTAACAAATGAGACCTTCAGTGTATACCTAATTATCAAAGAGTAGTGAAAGAAAGCACAAACCGTCCACAACTAAAAGCAGTTTATGAACTAGAAAATTTACTGCTTGGTTCTGTAAACATCTTAAAGGAAATTCAACTTCATCACTTCACGTAAAATCAAGGAAATTCCTAAAGGTAAATGCTCTTCATTGTTCAGAAAAGTTTATCGTCACTAAGAAGTTATTCTAGACCACAACCATGACTGGACTTCCAAATTACATATTAGACAAAGGTTTTGGTCGATGAAATATTGACCTACAAGCCAACACCCCAAGCAAACTTCTTAATTTAATCCAAGGTAAGATTATGATTGTTGACGCATTAACTTAGGCCATAGCATCAAATGAATTTAACTCGATCGTTAGAAAGGTTTTGGTCACCCAGGCATTAGCTTAGTCATACCTCAGTGAACTTAAATCAATTGCAAGTGAGATTGTGACACTGATGGTAATAACCTAGGCCATATATCCTTTTTAGTTGAAATTGCTAGGCTTTTTTCCAAGCTTACAGCCCCTAACAAACTTCTTTGTTCAATATTGTCATATTGTGCCAAGTTATGATTGTCAAGGAATTAGTCCAAGCTGCAACACCCAAATGAACTCATTTATACATCCATGAAAGTTGAAAATCAAGTCCATGTGGGACAATCATACATCCTACAAGGAAACAGCTGAAGGTTTCAACCTAAGCAACCTTTCTATAAAGACAATTTACCTCAATTTAAAGTGGGCATCTAAGAGAATAATTATCCACCACATCACATTCAAACTTCTCAAAATAACTGAATGTTAACTTGGCTTTAGCCTATACAGCCAAAATCCCAAGAGCACATCAAATGAAGAAACTTTGGCTTAGTTTAAATTTTTTGGGTACTTAAAGAGGAAAAAGCCAACAAGAGCTTCTACTTGCAACTGGAAGACGAATCTTAACGAGCATTCATATCAAGTTTTCCTATACAACTCCAACGAATCCCAAATGCTACAAAATTCATCAAATTTAATCATCAAAGGGGTAATTTTAAGGAATTTCTTCCTAGAGACAACCCAACGAGGGATCCAGGATTTAAGAATATTTCGAAGCTCCATAGGATATATAAAGATTTCCAAACTCTGCATCATACATGGAAACTAATTTACTCTTTCGGATATATAAAAGCATTTTAACTCTATAAGCCACACATAAATTAACCAGCTCCACAAAATATATAAAGATTACTCAACTTTGCCAAATATATAGAGAATATCCAACTCCATAAGGTATAAAAGGACCACCGCCATTTCATTAAGTATGAAGACTAACCGACTCTGTAGTATACAATAACCACTCGAGCTCACCGCTACCATCTTTCAAACCAAAAGGAAAACACACAAATGAGAATTGGGCTAAAATCTTGCTGCCTGAGCCCATTACTTTCAGGCCCCAAGCATCCACAAGCAAACAAGTACAGCACAAACCAAATTACTTTGCTTCATACAGCAAGTGTGCCTAGAAAATAGACACTAACAAAGCTTGGCCTTCAAGTGCAAAAAACTTTCTAAAGAGCTCATAAGAAAGCAATGAACTAACTTTAAAGATCATATGTTATGCCTTTAAATAAAAAGTCCTTTACCAAGCGTCTATAGGGAACAAGGCACACCACACAACTCCATTAAACATAAAGTGAGCCTTTAACCACAAACTCCTTTTACAAGAGCTCCTAAACGACCAAAGCAAACGGGTGCAATGTCATCGCATATACCAATAAGCAAGCAAAGGAAGAAAGAAGACAAAAAATATTTCCATCAAGTGCACTATCAACTCTGAAGTGTCCACAAAAAGCAAGAAGGGGATAGGCAAAAAACTTTCTACGTTGAGCAGACACTTGTCTCCAAAGTGTCCCAAAAATAAGGACGTAAGGGGTAAATAACATTGTGTTCAAGTGCATCATCACCGTTAAGTGCCCACAAGAAACAATGAAGCCAAGTGTCAAAAACATTTGCTAGCACATCATCACCTCTCAAGTGCCTACAGGGACTTAACAAGTAGCATAGAAGATGAATTTTTCTCCTGCTAACGTATTGTTACCTCCAAAGTGCCTATAAAGAGAAAGGGACATGGGTGGGTTGAAAAACTTTTACCTCCAAGTGAATCATCACCTCCCATCTGCCCGGTGCATAGAGTAAGATGTAAGCAAAAAAAAGTTTACTTTTTCCCTTGGACACATTATCATTGCTAAAAAATCCAAAAACAAATAAAGGAAGCCAAAACTATGAAAACTAATTGTAGGAGAAAATATAGTGTAAAGCATGAGGACATTTATCTACCCACACCCATGTAAAATGAACAAAATAAGCAAAACAAACAAAGCATATTTATATATTTTACTATTAAAAAACTAATGTGATACACTGTCTTAATGTGTAACATGGCCATTCGGGGTTAGGACACAAGATTGGCCGTTGTTGCGTTCACAAGTATATGAGCTAACCGGAGCTATGAACCTAAATTGCACGACCTCTATAGTGTGCATCCAAACTTCATTGACTTGCATATTTTCACTCGAATCAAGTTGGCATTTACATTTTGTGCCTAGGAAATATTGAATCAAGTAAAGATCGATAAACACCCCAATCCAACCATTCCTATAACAATATGAAAAGTTGTTAGCGCCTTTTAGGCCATGTATGATCTCATTTTGACAAAGCTTAAATTCAAAAATCTCGAATTCCTCCTTAGCTAATGCATGATTAAAATTGATGTAAATTTTCCTAGGTTGACTTTACTTATATTTCTAAACTGGCTTGAATTTTTTTTCTAAATGATTCACTCAAACAAAACACATAACAAAAGAAATTGAATTAATTTGAAATCACATGGTCCATAATCTCAAAAGGAAGTACTCATAGATGTCATGGGAGCGGTTATAGTCAATGAGTTCATATTCAAACCATATTTTTAAAGGAATCACAACCAATTATCTATAGACTTACGAAAAAATGGATCATGGTGGAAAGCAAAATCAACGGAGCTAGCCTGAAAAGGCAAAATGGAAGTGGTCACCAAGCACAAAGCGGAAGCCAGGCAAAGGTATTTATACATGTGAATCCCAACTAGAAGAAATTATGCAGTTGTTTTGAAAGCTCCCTTAACAAACTGAATGAAAGTCATTTATTCGAAGTGTGCCTACTAATCCTTTGGTGAGAATGTCAATAAATACATATTTTGGATGTTTTTCATGTGTTTCTAACAACCAGGTTTTCTTTTTGTGCCTTGTAAATAGCACAATAATCTTCTTCCCTATGAAAACTTGCAAACGTGAGAATGTCAATAAATACATATTTTGGATGTTTTCATGTGTTTCTAAGAACCAGGTTTTCTTTTTGTGCCTCATAAATGGCACAATAATCTTCTTCCCTATGAAAACTTGCAAACCAATTGTGACCATTTTAAAAAGTTCTTTTCATTAATTTAATATGTTGAATAAATGTTTTGCAACTCTCCTTTTAGATTGAGATTGTCCCTTAATTCCATGAGAACTCAAGACCAAGGATATGTGAGCATTATTTCCATTATCCATGGAGAGAAAATTGTGATGTAATTAAAAAAGAAAAGAAAAAAAAATGTGGCAATGCATCAATGAATTCAGCAGCAATGAAAACAATTTGCAACAATTTAGTAATGATAGTTGTAATAACGGAAAATATTTTCACCTGTAGTGATGAAGATAGTAATTACAGAAAATAAAATTAGAGAAAAAGAAAACGGTGGAACAATAAGGGTTACATGATCGTGGTACTACAACAATAAAGGTTACATATAAGAAGATTACTTGAAAGGAAGAAAGAATATCTATGCAATAAAGCTTTCCAAGTTCTAGGTAATATAGTGATGAAAGTTGTAGACTATGATAATACTAGGACAAAATTATAATGCTTTAATATCATGAAGAGAATTGGAGAGAATTAGTTGAATTTAACTCCAATATGTGTGATGTAATTATAAAATCCTAGAGAATTTCTAATAAAAAACATACAAAACAGAGGAATAATAATTGTAGAATAATTACAGTAGACAGATGGATTGGTGAGAAGGCTTCAGGGGGTGGCAATGAAAAGAAGTAAAGAAAGGTAGAAGGTTGAATCTATGCAGCAAGCTTGGGAAGGTGGAATGGAAGTGGGAGGCCGGAGCAAGTGCCAAGGCAAATCTGCTGAGTGTGGGATCCCAACTAGTAAAAATTATGCAGCCATTTTGTTTGTCAGTGTTAAGATGAGACACTAAATGATCTATAATTCAGAAACCGTTATATTTAGAACACTCCAGATAACCCCTAAAAAAGATAAAGGGAAGAAAAAGATTGATCAAAGAAAAAACAGTAATAAATCATACAAAAAAAAAAGAATTTTATTCATTTCTTACCACGTCTCATTTTGACAACACCTCTAAAGACCTCCACATTGTTATAGCATAAAGCTAGAGTTCCAATCGCCATGATCTGTCACAATCATGGATTTAAACACAAGTTCAGTACTGCCGTGTTGAAGCAAAATTAGTAAGTATCAGTGTGTTATAAACAGTAAGTAATATCAAAATGAATGAAAAATATGCAAAAAAGGAGATGTTTGAGGAGGTTGACAGGCAATGCATGAATATAAATTCAGTTTTCTGATGCTAGATTAATCACAATAATGATAGAAACAACGAATGTTAGATTAGAAAATTTTAATTTGGTTATTAGAACTATAATCAACAATTGCCTCAACAAAGTGCAAGGGTATTACTTGAGTGATGCCAAATCATACAAGTGTGGTATTGAGGAAAATACAAAATTCAAGCAATCAACACTATAATCAAACATTTTCCCATATCATTGAAGTAGCATAAGACAATTCAAATTAAACGATGAGCTGATTCATGAGTTCTTAGAAGCAACCTAATGTGAAGAAAACAACAAATTTGTCAAGTTAAAATACCTAAACTGGTAGTGCTCTCAATTAAGATAGCATTTCAAAGCAACATGGTCAATAGAAAATTTTTCTTTTTTTAATTTGATTCCATTCACTGTCTCTTTCCACAAGAATATTCACTTTTTAAAACATAAAACCGACTACCCAAGCAACAAAAAGATGATTTTGCAACCAATGTGGGCCATTTGGAGGGGCATCCAACTGGGTTCTTGTTTTGCTCTTCACAAAAACCCTAATGTAATCTAACACTAGACTACATGCTGAGTAGCCTTATCACAATGAAGGTGTAACGGTGCATAATTAAACTCAAAAGTGTAGCATTTTTTATTAAATAATCATCCAAGCATTGTCAATTTCATGATGAAAGCACCAAGTAAAACACGTTTTTTTATTAAACTCGGTATGAAGGTACATAAATCAATTAATGTAGAATCGTGTTACAAATACAAGTTGAAGGGAGATCTCAGATAAAAGCATACAAGACACCAACAGAAATTGCAAATTTTTCAATTTTCATTCTTGTGATTATGATTTGTTCTAGCAGCAACTTTTAGGAATGTTTACATTGCAAATTTATGATTTGTTCTAGCAGCAACTTTTAGGAATGTTACCCTTATAACAACTAGACTATGATGAGCTTGGCTATCTGATGAGTTTGAGTTGAAGACAATCTCAGACCATCTTCTTTCACAAATGCAAAAATAGCTTATAAAATAACATCAGACGCCAAGAAATCAAATCAATTCATGAAAAAGAGAGAACTACAATAAAAAATAAGCCACGAGCAAACATCATCTCATAGGATTTACTTAGAAACTATGCACATCAACTTGAACAACTTTCCAAGATACCAAAAAAATTTCTGCGTACCTGAGGAATGGCACAGAATCTAAAGATATTATGTGACTTCAAATTTGACAAGTACTGGAGGCAATCTTCAGCATGAACCAAAGCATTGGTTACCATGTCATTCAAGCATTGCACTGCATTTACTGAGTTCTCCTCATCTTTGAAATCCTGGCTTGGAGAGCAAAAAATTTCAAAGCTAAACCATGAGAATTTAGACGAACTAGTTTCTAGAGCTTTTAAATACATGCTAACTATATTAGCCTCTAAAAAGTCAAAATTACACTTACAAAAAACTGCAGTGAACTGGAAAAAATAGCATTCAGATCAAAAAGTACATATCAAACTAACATGCTGGCAAATAATAAAACTTCCACAGAAAAAGAAAAAGAGCAAAACATTCAAACCTCTAGTTTGTTAGCATATTTATTCCAAATCTGCCGAGGCCAAAACATACGAGGCTTTGGTATCTCATTTATATCTTCCAAATAATCCCTTATAATATTTGCTTTCTGCATGTAAAATCATGAAAATGGCTGCTATTAAGAAGACAACTCCCAAAAGTGATCGTACACTACAAGCATGAAATACACCAAACTGTGAAATATGGTGACCTGAAGAAACAAACCCATTGAGTTTGAAAGCGATTCTGGAGCCTCATTTTCCATTCTACAAGCATGAAAAAGCTTTGATAGTCCAAGCCCAACTAAACCGGCCACATAATGGCAATATTCATCATAATCATCAACAGTCACGACCTGCAGGGGAAGCAAATTCAGATTTGATTTGTTAGGAAACAAAAGAGTAATTAAATAAAAAGAATCACTATAAACTCGGTGCTAAATAAAAATTTCAGCAAATAAATATTGATATCCAAATAAGCAAAGCAATTACCTTTAAAAGTGAAGTACTTTGGGTGACCAAATAACATATATACTTCTTTTTGAAATCTATTAGAAAAGATTAAAAGGTGATTCCATGAGGAGGTTTGATCACCCAGCGTAAGATACTTATGATGTATATCTTAGAAGTGCAAGAAAAATGATTATAAGAAATGATTTTCCAAGGATAAGATGTTGGAATTTAAAAACTGAGAAACTTTTAATCTTTTAAAGATAAACTGCTACGAGTCGAAGTGTAATTTTTCCGGTGAATGAAACTTATCGTGTGATAAAAATGTTTGTTCATTAAGAAGATAATCGAAAAAATTTAGAAGCCTAGAAATAGATCTTACAATAACAAAAGAGATTTGGTGGTGGGTGAAGAGATATAGAAGGAAAACCAATGTATGGTCATAAGGTTGTAAAAGTTAAATACTATTGAGGTATTTAATGATTATAAATAAGGGAAGTGTTGTATATTCGGTATTGAGCAACCAAAAGTTATAAATTTTGATGATTTATAAAACTGCCTTGGCATAAAAGAAGAACAAGAAATGTATAAAGTAGCTAAGATAATACTTTGTCAACTAAGAAATATTATAACAGAAGATAACAAGTCTTAGTGATGCAAACATCAAAAGAATATTAAAAAAAATTAATTATTACGTAAGATATTTTTAGAAGAAATTATTTTAAAAACATAAAGAATTAGATAATGAGGCATATGATACAATAATCAACAACTATTGTTAAAAAACAGATTTGGAGCTAAAAAAATTGCTTGATTTCATTATTCACGCAAAGGTTAAAATATATAGGGAAACAAATCCCTCCTAATTTACAAACTTATAAAACATATCTAACCTAAATTAGGAAAAGAAACAATTCTAATAAAAATAAATAAATAAACAAAAATGGGAATAGAGTAAACACAAATTAAGAGGTTTCCAAATTGATCTCATATCAAATATCCCATAAAATCTTGGATAGTCAGCCACTCCATGCTAGGAAACACCACCTCAAGCTTCTCAAGTTTCCTCACTCTCCTCAAGCAGTGTTGTAGATGTTGTAGAGACCAAACTTGGTATTGAACTCTGAGAAAGTGCTTAAAGAAAGAGCTTTCATGAAGACATGAGTGACTTGTTGGTGTGTCTAGATGTAGCTTAGTTGTATAATTCTCCATTAACCTTTTTAGACATAAAGTGTCTATCAACTTTAATAAGTTTGTCCTGTCATGATGCACAAGATTGTAGCAATATTGATGTTGCTTGACTGTCACAAAACATATGTATATGCCTATTGGAGGTAAATCCCAGCTCTCTCGGCTCTCTTAATATTTTAATCTAGATTCCTTCATAGATCCCAAGACAAGTGTCATATACTCTAATTTTGCACAGCTTCTAAAAACAACTATTTGTATCTTATTTCTCCATGTAACCAGATTTTTCCATACATATGAGCAGTAACCTGTGTTAGACCTTCTATAGGTGAGTTTCTCAACCAAACTAACATCGTCTCTCGGTTCTGATTTTCTCAAAAATTAATCCATAACAAGGAGTCTTCTAGAGAAATGTCAGAATCATGTATATCATCTTTAAATGCTCTTCATTTGGACTATTCATGTGTTGGCTCACTATACTGACAAAGTAAGCAATATCCGATCCAATATGTGACAAATAGATGAGTTTTCCTACCAACTTTTGATATCTACTATTATCCACATATATACTTCCTTTTTCCCTATCAAATTTCTTGTTGGATTCCAATTAAATATCAGTGGGTTTACATCCAATCATCCATATTTTCTTTAGTAGATCTATGATGTATTTCCTTTGTGATATAACAATATCATTCTTGATACTTGCTACTGCCATACCTAGAAAATATATCATGTTCCCAATGTCCTTGATTTCAAACTCAGCAATAAGCACTTTTTTATTTTAATAATTTATCTTTCATTATCAAAAGTAAAAATCATATCATCCACATATATAATCAATGCAATAATCTTATATCTCTGAGTGTGTTTTATGAACAATGTGTGATTATCTTGAGTTGGAGAATATCCATTGGATTAATAGTTTTAGCAAATCTTTCAAACCACACCCTTGGTGATTGCTTAAGCACATAGAGAGACTTTCTGAATTTGAATGCATGGTGTTTGTTGGAATCGTTCTCAAATCCTAGTGGTATCTCCATGTACACTTTTTTTTTCCAAATCTCCATTCAGGAAGGAATTTTTATGTCAAGTTGATACAGTCTTCATTCTTTGTTAGCTGCTACTAAAAGGAGAACTCTGATAGTATTCAATTTGGCAACTGGTGTGAAGGTATCCTGATAGTCAATCATATAGGATCATGTCAAACTTTTTTGCAACAAGTTTGTCCTTGAATCTCTCAATACTCCCACCAGCATTGTATATGACGTTGAACACCCAATTGTATACAAGTATCTTCTTATCCTGAGAGAGTTTAGTAAAAATCCATGTGTCATTATACTATAGTGCTTGAATCTCCTCTTTCACTGCTTTCCTACATTCTAGATTTTCAAACATGAATGGATTTAGGAATTTGTACACTATCAAGGTTAAATACAAACGCTTTATACGCTGAAGATAGCTTCTCATAAGCTACATACTACTGAATTGAGTATCTAGTATCACTTTCATTATCATTAGTACAAGAGGAGGAAGGGGGTAACTCACCAGAAATTTTAGGTAAATGTGGACTCGACTTTTTTTTTTGAGCAATTTTGTCTTTGCATGTTGTCTTTCACCTACTCAAGATATTTCTTCCTCCTAGCGTACACACAATTCTTAAAATGTGGACTTCATGTTGGGTTGGTTGTATATCCTCAACAAAAGTAGTAGAGTCGGGTGGAAGAGTAGGAAGAGGAACAGGTAGAGGTGTCGTGTAG